TTATAGGGGTGCCAGAAGGAGAAGAACAACAGCAAGAAATTGAAAACTTATTTGAACAAATAATGACGAAAAACTTCTCCAATCTGGTGAAAGAAATGGACTTCCAAAAAAGTCCAGGAAGCCCAGAGAGTCCCAAAGAAGCTGGACCCAAAAAAGAACACACCAAGGCACATCATCATTAAATTACCCAAGATTAAAGATAAAGAGAAAATATTAAAAGCATGAAGAGGAAAGGAGAGAGTTACCTACAAAGGAGTTCCCAGAAGACTATTAGCTGATTTCTCAAAAGAAACTTTACAGTAATGAAGGCACTGGAAAGAAGTATTTGAAATCATGAAAGGCAAGGATGTTCATAGAAGATTACTCTATGCAGCAAAGCTATCATTTAGAATGGAAGGGCAGATGAAGTGCTTCCCAGATAAGGTCAAGTTAAAGGAGTTCATCATCACCAAGCCCTTATTATATGATATCAGAGGGACTTATTTAAGAAATTGAAGATCAAAAACTATGAACAGTAAAATGACAACAAAATCACAACTAGCAACAAATGAACCTAAACAATAATAACAACAACAACAAAACAAATATTAAGCAAACAACTAGAACAGGAACAGAATCAGAGAAATGGAGATCACATAGGGGGTTTTCAGTGGGGAGGGGGAAGGGAAGAATAGGGGGAAAGGTGCAGGGAATAAGAAGCATAATTGGTAGGCATAAAATAGATGGGGACAGAAGAATGGTATAGGAAACAGAGAAGTCAAAGGGGATTATCTACTCTGTACAACTGTAACAGCATAATAAATAAAATAGAATTTAAAAAATATTGTGTTCAGAGTTTATAGATGTAATTAATGGAGAAGGGTTGTCTATTGGGGGGCTTATACTGATATTTTAAAGGGGAGTCTCCCAAGGGCACTATATTTTAAATCTTACTCTACTTAGTACTCTTTTATTTAACATTACATTGATAACTCTCCATGTTGTTATATGTATATTTGATTCTGTATTTCCATTGCATAAGATTCTATTAAATGCTCATACAACATTTTACATATATATTTCATGATTATACAGTCCTAGGTTGCCCTAACTTTTTACCATCACAATTAATACTGTAATAAACATACAATACATGTGGCTTGATCAGCCTAAGAGAGCTTCTCTGGAGTAGCACTGCTCAATTACAGTGCAAATGGATTCTACATTGCATTTAATACTGTCAGAATGCTCTTTGAGATGACTTTACTGGTATATATTCTCAACTGAAGTAACTGAAGGTTCCCATTTCTTTATATCCTCACCATCAGCTTACATTATCTGATTTGCTAATTTCCCCATTTCATAGATATTGACTTGGTCTTATTTTTAAAATTTGCATTTACCTGATTGCCAGTGATAATGGGTGTTTCTCCACATATTTATTAATTATTAAGTTATATACTTTTATGAAATGTCTATTGATAGTTCTGACTTATTTTATACTCAATTTTTCTAGCAGAAAAAAGATTTTGTGCATCATTTTTTTTGCTGGTTTTCAGGAATTCTTTATGTATGCTAGGTATCAGTCATTTTTTAGAGACATTGCAATTTTCTGCCTGTCTTGTATCCATCAGTTTTCTTTATCTATTTCCACTGAAAATAGTGTTAAATTTGGTGCATTTTCATACATTTTATCATCACAGATTGTGCTGTTTGAATATGGTTTAACAAATTCTTTCCCAACTCAAAAATCATAATATATTTTCTATAATAAAGATATCCTCAAAGACTTTATAGTTGTATGTTCTCATGTAAGTGTTTAAAACTTAAAATTTTTGTATATAGTGAGATATAGAAATAAAAACTTATTTTTTACATATATAGAGATCATTTTCCCCAGCACCATTTCTTACCTAATCTATCAAACCCTCCGTGATTTATCTCTACCATAAGTCAAGTATCCCTGTAACATGACTCTGTTTCTGGATTATCTACTCGGTCCCAATAATAAGTTATTAATCTGTTATTGTGTTAATAGCACACTTTTTAGGGAGGGGTTGGGGGCACTAGAAGAATTTAGCCAAAGAATGGATAGACATACATACATAGCCCATGGATACAGACAACAATGTGGTGAAGGCTGGGGGCAGGGCAGGGGCTGGGTGGAGGGGAGGCAAGAGGGAGGAAAATAAGGGACATCTGTAAGAGTGTCAACAACAATAAAAAGTATGTATTTTCAGTATTCTTTTTATCTGGTAAGGAGATTCCATCACTGTTGCTTTCTTTTCCAAATTTGTTTTAACTATATGTATTATTATCCTTCTAGATATATATTAGAATTAGTTTGTCTAGTTGCCCTCTTAAAAAATCTTGCTAGGATTTTAGCTGAGATGACACTCAACTTATAGATAAATTTGGGAGATATTGAAATGTTTATAGTGTTAAATTATTTTATTCATAAATGTGATATATCTTTCCATGTACTCAGGTCATCTTTTATGTCTTTTAATAGAATTTTAGGTTTCACTGTGAAATATTTAAGATGCACTAATGTACAGATTATAACATAATGAAGACTTTTTAACCCACTCTCTATACTTATAAAATCCTACTATTTTATAAGGTTTCCAGGGGCAATACTCAAGATAGTTAAAGACCAGTATGGCATAGAAATCAACTAATGAGAACAATCTCTCACTTCCATTTTATACCAGCACAGTGTCTACTAAGCACTACTTGATTTATATATTATTGAATATGTAGAACGTTTTAGAGATAAAGACACTTGTGTACCTCTTTCTAAATTCCATTTACCTGGCCCTTCCTGTGCATGTTTTCATACTATATATGTCTATATCCATAACTATATATAATAAAATTTTGCATGTTTTCAAACTTTATATAAATCATTTCATACTGAACATATCAGTATGTAAATATTCATCTTTTTTTTTACAATTTATTTATCTTTAGAAGGGAAGGGAAGGAGAGAAATATCGATGTATGGTTGCTTCTCGTGCATCCCCTGCTGGGAACTGGCCTGCAACCCAGGCATGTGCCCTCACTGGGAATCAAACTGCGATCCTTTGGTTCACAGGCCCGTGCTCAATCCACTGAGCTACACCAGCCAGGGCTGTAAATATCCATCTTAATATATATTTTAACTGTTGTAGTATCCCACTGAATAAATATGCCACAATTTACTAATCAAATTGCCTGTTTCTTTGTTTTGAAATTTTAGGAAGCCTTCTAATTCTAGTACAAATAGTTCTTTAATAAACATTCATCTTCATAGATCCTTAGGAATAAGTTTTCTTGTATACTACCTAGTAGTGGGATTTTAGGTTCTAGGTTATATTCATCATTAATTTTACCAGATAACATAGTTGGACAAATGTATACCAGCACATATACTCAATGAGATACTCATACTCTCTCCAACAGTATATATTATCAATCTTTCCTTTTTTAGATTTAAAGGTTTTTTTGGTTTTTATTAGTTAGATAAAAGTATTGTTTTATGTAATTTTCATTTCCATAATTACATGCTAGTTGATTTTCTCTCTAGCCAGTCTCACATACAGCTTATTATTTTTTTAGAAACTTTCTTGAGGAAGTGTAGATCTAGCCAACATACTCTCATACTTTACATTTTTTAAAATCCTCACTTGAGGATGTGTTTTCATTGCTTTTAGAGAGACAGGAAGGGAGAGAGAGAAACATCAATCTGAGGGAGAAAAACCAGTTAGTTGCTTCCCATACATGTCTAGACCAGGGATTTTATGAGCCGGGACTGGGGATCAAACCTGCAATGTAGGTAGGTGCCCCAACCAGGAATTGAGCTACAGGATTATACTCCAACCAACAGAGCCACACCAGCCAGGGCTCTACAGTTTTTTTTTTTAACTTGTATCTTCTGTTGCAGCCCCTACCAGTAACAACTTGGTACAAATTATTGTGCAAGTATGCTTTTGCCTGCACATAATATAAAATCCAACCTCAAATTGACTTCAAAAGACTGCTGATTGTATTATGTATTAGGAAAGTTCAGGAATAGAACTGGATTTTGGCATAGCTTAATGAAAAAACTGAAAAAATACAATAGGAGAAAGGAAGACATAATGGGAACAGAGAGAGGATAAATAGCAAAGGAGGAAGCGAAGATGAAAAGGTAATGTAATATTTCACTCCAATGTATACTCTGTGAAGCAGGACGTGAGTTTTGAGGTTTCAGAGCTAAACCATATCTGCGTGATGAGACTCTCAAAGAGGTCAGAAACCAGCAGATAGGAGGACAGAGAATAAACCAGTAAACAGAGAGCTCTCGCCCAGTTTGTCAAGCACTCTGACAGAACCATGCAACAAAGTAAGGGGCAAGAAAAGACTAATTAACTTGGGGTGACCTGAGAAGGTTTCTTGGAGAAAGCAGCCTTTGAACTAGACCTTTGAGGAGGGCAGGCCTTTTAGAGGAAGGCATGGGGGGCTGGAGTGGGGAACAAAGACACTGCAGGTAGAGGAACAGCTTGAGCAAAGGTGTGGCATTGGCACAAGGCAGAACACGTTTGGGGAATGGTAAAGTCATGGACTGTGACCAAGGCCTCTGAGAGACTGGCAAGGGCCGACTGTGGAAGGCCTTGAACAATAGGCGACGCAGCTTGCATTTAAGTCTCAAGGCCCAGAGATCCCTTGGAGACTGTAGGTATGGCCAGCTTTGCGCTTTGAAATATGACTGTGAGAGCCTCTGTGAGAATGGAGTGGGCTGGAGCAGACAGGAAACAGGCACATTAGAGTAGGGTTTGTGTGGGAGCCCAGAGGAATCAAATAGGAACGGGGATGCACGGTGGGGGGACAGACGCTTCAACCGGAAAATAAGAGGGACTGATTGCTGAATAAGAGGTAGTAAGCACAAAAGAGACCATATGGAGGAGAACGGAAAGGTGGGAGCAGGGAGCAGGAAGGAGGTTGACAGGCAGGGACGAAGACCCCTCTGGAGGCGGAATGAGGCAGGACCACTTCCGGCTGGGGAGGGGGAGTGGACAGGCTTAGACCTAAGGAGAGGCTTGGAGAGAGCAGACGCCTTCTGGACCCAAGAGGACGAGGTGAGCTAAGATGCCCAGCTTTAGTGTAAACCGTGGCGCCCTCCGGTCAGCAGCTTTGACCAGCTTGATTCCTCACACCCCTAAGTTTGGAAGAAAACCCGCTAGGCGTTTGGGAGCTAACAGCATCTAAGTGGTTGGGTTTAGAGGTGTCGGGATCCGGTTCGCAAGGGAGAAATTAGGAGGCAGAATTTCCTTTGGGCCACTGTATGGAAAGATATGGGCAACAGAAAGGATGGATACAGACTTATTTGGTATTGCAGAAAGGAGAGATCAAGAAATAATTCAGGCGGTAGAAGGGACAGAGCAGAACCCCATTATGGAGGGAGATAAGCGATGACAGGAATCCTTAAGCCTGGAGAAAAAAAGATGTCACGATGATTTGGGCCAGAAAGTAGGGTTGAGAACTTGGAGAAAGGATGAGGCAGAATGCCTTTTGAACATTTGAACAACTGCAAGGAGCCGGGTCAGACGGGCGAAAAGAGGGGCTAATACGCAGTAGGTTCTGGTTTGAAAAGGGAAGGGACAGAACCTGGTAGATTTGGGGAACAAGGAACACACAAACGCGTAATACCTTTAGCTTTGTGGGTGAGGTATCCGTGTTGCAGAAAGGTTGGGACTGGTCCCTGGGCGATTGCTTTTGGGGAAGGGGCTGTGCAGGGATTTACTGCAGAGCAGAGGGAGGAGGCATATTAAAATGAAGGGGAAGTGCGGAGAGGTGCTGCAGAGCGGTGGGAGGGGGCCGGTGTTGGAGTGAGCTGAGATGTTGAAGGGGGTGGAGCGTGTGGGATAGAGGTGGTAGAACAGAGTAGTTCACCAAAGCCGCTTGCGCATTGAGGTCCGGGGATGGGCGAGGCTCTGAACGTTGCGCATGCGCAGTATTGAGTTGCGGTAGAAGATTTGTGTAGGGTAAAGGAGCGGGTTGGTAGAACTGTCTTGTGGTTTCTTCGAAGCAGGAGGAGGTAGAGTTTAGAAACCAGATAGTCTGGGTTTCTAGGTATGAGAACCCAGTAGTTGAAGTGTTTTGGCCCAAGGTTAGATGAGGTTTCTCCCTAATTCAGAAAGTCTGATGAATCTTCCCCTCCCTCTCATTTTCCCCTAGCTCAGACCGCTTCCCCTCAGGTTCAGCTGTTACTTGGCTTCCCAGAAAAATGGATAGGAGAAATAACTACGGTTATAGGATGCCCCTGTTCCAGGTGAGGCTTCTCTGCATTCTTGCCAGGCCAGCTGCCCCATCTTGAGTTCACTTCTTGCTTCGAGTCCCCTACCACTCTAGTGGCATAATTTTCTGCCTAGCTTGTTCAGTCCTTCCTTGCACGGTGGAGGAAGAGCAGAAAATAAATATATTATGAGTCTTCTTTTGCTCTCTCCCTGTTCCCTCACCCTTCCCTTCAATCACTACCGAGACAAAGGGAAGAACTTCATGGAAAGGGGTGGGCTGTAGGGAGGTCAGATGGATGAGCAGGTCGTAATCATAAGTGTATAGGGCACTCTGCCTCCCCCTGGGAGCTTGGGGCTTCAGTTCCCTCCAGATGTACAGCCTGAGACCACTGAAGAGGACAGTGTCTTGCTGATGCATACCCACTTGGCTGCAACAAAGGACCCCCTGGCTATGGGCCCACCACTGGCCAACTGGCCTAAGAAAAGCAAGGCCAAGAAGGCCTAAAAGGGGGCTTAAAAGGAGGCTATTACTAAGACAATACCTGCTGCCCCTCCACTCCCATCTGCCAATGCGATTACCATCAACAAGCCTAAAATACCTTTTCAGACTTTAAAACTGCCAATCAACCCCAGATCAAGCAGGTTTCAGCTACCATAGAGGCAGCCAATATTCTGGCTTCTTCAGTCACCGCTCAGCTTAAGAAAGCCAACAAGACAAAGAGAGTTACTCCTAAGGCAGCCCGAAGGCCCCAATCTCCAACTGGCAGTGAGAGTGTCACTACATAGATCAAGTCACCCTTGAAGGCCCTAAACCTACCAGTCATCCAACAGACTGTCCAGACTACATTTGCCAGTGAGTCAGCAAATTCCCAGGCCTTCACCAAGCCTAAGAAAGCTTCAAAGGCTAAGAAGGCCACCAGTACAGCCATATATAGTGCCACTGAGATCTCACTGGCTTCAAACTGCACCCATGCAACTACCACCCGAGGTCCAATTATCAATGTACCCAGGCCACAGCAGCCTCCACTCAAACTAAGAAAGCCCCCAAAGCCAAGAAGGCAACTGTTAAAGGCAAGAATACTGACACCAAGCTCCTAGGGGCCCCAAACACCACTGAGAGAGATATCAGGCAGGTTGAGACCTCAGCAGCAGCTGTCTGACCAAAAAAGTCCAAAGGAAAGACGGCTGCCAATAATGGCATAAACTTGGCCTATAAGATCCCTGAGGCCCAACCTGTCATTCAAATGGTCACAAACCAAGCCCTAACAGCCACCCTCTCAGTCCAGAGAGAGCCTAGGGATTAGAAGGCTGCCACCAAGGCCTGGGCAGCTGAAATCCAGATTCAAATTGTTGGCCAAGGAGCCTAGGCCAAGATGGCCAGCTCTCAGACCAACATAAGTACCCTTGAGACTCAGGTTGCTGCTGCTGTCCAGGCCCTGGCAGATGACTACCTGGCTCAGCTGAGTCTGGAGCCCACAACCAGAACCCAGGGCAAGAGGAACCAAAAGGTGAGATGTCTGATAACACCACCCTTAAATTTGCATTTGGTTTTTTATTCCTATCCTCCGAGTTTGTTCATTTATTCTGTAAAATTTTACTGAGCGTTTTTACTCTGAGACAGTCCTTGTCTTCAGATAGGCTGTGAGAGATGCTTAGAAGAATGTGATGTATCATGGTTCCTGCTCCCTGGCATTTCACAGATTGGTGGGGAAATAAGACATCCATACACTTAGCTACAACCTGGGTATAATGCAGTGTATATTTAATTTACATAGTAGTTACCATGTGCCAGGCTTTGTGTTGGGTACAGTCACACAGGCTATGTTTTTATGTTTTGAAAATAACACCTGCCAGCTAGGGATCACAGGTCCCAGTTTTACAGCTAAGAAAATTGAGTCACAGAGAGAAGAAGAGACTTGTCCAAGGGTACAGCTAGCAGAGTTAGTGGTGGCCAAAAGAAGAAGAGGAACTCCAAGCCCTGCCTTTGGGTTGCTCCTTTCCTAGCAAGGAAATGAATTTCCTGCCTGGAAGATGGTGAAAGACACCTCAATGACTCAGGGTGGCCAAAAGTAAAGTCAGGACCCAGTAAAGGGAGGGTTTAGGGGACTTTCAGGAGGAGCCAGGGTAAGGAGACAGAGGCATCTCTTTCACCTAGTGACTCTGGACCTTCCTTCTTTCTGATGATGCAGTTCAAGCATGTGTATGGGAATGAGAGAGATGGCCATAAATACAGGTGGATCCCTTGGGGCCAGAGGTCTCTACCCACCCGAGATGTGGCCATTTTGCAAGAAAGGTTAAGACTCCTATGCTGCTCGGTCTTTTCTTTGCCTTCTCTCTTCTCTGTCATTCTTCCAAGTTTTCTGAAAACATATTGAGATTTCCACATGTATTCTTTTTCTCCCAGGCAAATAAGTTGGTGAAATATCTATTGGTTAAGGACCAGACAAGGATCCCCATCAAGCACTCAGGTAGAATAATACCAACTGTCTTCTCTGTGCTCTCCATTCCCCTCTCCATCATGGCTTGGGGGTAATAGTTTACCTTTGTGGCTTAGTTTTTTTCTCATATGCCTTCCCCTACTCTCCTCACACTGTATTAATGGCATCTCCCTCTGAACACAGTTTAAGACTCAGACTACACTGACCCCAGAGGGCTAGCATAGGGCTGCTGCTCTCTCGCCCCATCTAAGCCCAGTTGCTTCCATCTCTCCCCTCCTGCAGACATGCTGAAGGATATCATCCAAGAATATGATGAATATTTCCCAGAGATCACTGAACGAGCAAGCTGCACTCTGGAAAAGGTGAAGGTAGACCCGGGAGATGGGCACGATGGCAAAGCCTTGAACTGAACAAAGGTGTAAAATGTCCCTTCTGTGGGGACCACAGAGATTCACACCTTCTGCCCTTTCACTATGCAGATGAGCAGATGGTGGCTAGGGAAGGTGCACAGACTTTCCAAGAGTCACACAACAAGTCAGTGGTAAGGGCACAGCTAAGACTTAAGCCACCCAACTTAGTGCTGGCTTCTGTCTGCTTCTGGACATGCCCTGGAATGCATTTCAGATGCTCACCTCTTCCTTCCATTCCCCATTCTCTGTCTGCCTACATTCCCACTAATTACAAGGTTGGTGTTGATTATAATAGCACATTTGTTGCCTGTTTGCGGTGTGCTGGCCTCATAGATAAGTACTTCATGTGCATTATTTCACTGATTTCACATACACACACACACACCCTAGGTACTCAGGAAGCTGTTGGGTGCTCAGGAAGCTCATTACAGAGGCTGACTTTCATAATCTCACAGGTTATTCTTTTACTTGGCAGATGTTTCAAGTCAATCTGAAGGAAATTGATAAGCAGAGTAGTGTGTATATTCTCATCAGCATTCAGGAATCCTCCGCAGGCATCCTGGGAACGTAAGCTGGGGAAGGGCTGGGGTGGGAGGAAGGCTTCTGCTTTTGTCCCTGGTACTCCCCCATCTCTGTCCTCTCTCCCCATACCCTCTTGGCGAGTCAGGAAAGACAGGACCTGAACAGCCCCTGTTCTAGCTCCCACATGTAGTTGTGGTGCCTAGCTCCCACACAAACGTGGTGCCTGGTTATGATTGACTGAAGGGTGTAGGAGCCTGGGATGGGGCATTCCTGCTGTCAGGTTGTCTGTCGGGAAGCTTCCCAGGAAAGCAGACCTGTCCTTGCTTGTCCCTTCCTGCTGGCCTTGGGGGAGTGGTTCTCAAGGGAGGGCTTTCTGGAGTGGGTGGCTCATGATGCTCAATGGGCAGGATCACCAGCGGGCTGTGCCCAGAATTCTCTCGTGGCTGAGGGTTCTGGGAGAGAAAGAAGGGACTCATACTGACTGAGTGCCTGAGTCATGCCAGGTTGCTAGGATTTCTTCCATCCTCTTTGGCGACCTGGGGAGGGGAGGATGTGATTCTCCCATTTTGCTGAGTAGGAGACTGAGTGTAAGTGTCTTGCCCAAGTTCACATAGAGCTGGGAACATAGACTGGGCAGAACTGTCCTATACTTGAGGAACCTGGGAGAGGCTAGCCTAGTGAGCTGGCTGGTGTGTTTTCTGCAGATGGCTGAGGGGCATAAACCTCTTTGTCCTATTGTTCCCCTAGAACCAAGGACTCCCCAAAGCTGGGTCTCCTCATGGTGCTTCTTAGCATCATCTTCATGAATGGAAATCGGTCCAGTGAGGGTGAGTGGCTGGGCATGCAGCTGAATGGGCAGCCACTGTTGGAACTTCACGTGTTCACTTTCTGTCCCTATCTCCTCTGCCCCCCTTGCAGCTGTCATCTGGGAGGTGCTGCACAAGTTGGGGCTGCGCCCTGGGTATGATTGGGCTCTCTCAGCGCTTGCTGTCCGTGTTGTCCTTTGGCAAGAGAGGATGGTCCCAGGATTGCATCAGCCTGGTGGTCTGGTGGAGTGGGCTGGGGCGCTGGACTGGATAGAGGACCCATGGCTCTTAGCTGGGTGGATGGGGAAATGGTCCTGAACTCCCAGCTTCCTCTCTTCTTTATGTCCCCTTTCTATTCTAAGATGGGATATAAGATAGACACTCAGAGGCATCCCTGACAAAGAGCCATTTGGCTTCAGCTGCCTGCTTCTAGTGACCATGTATGTGTTTACTACTTTTCTGGTTTCATTAAGATAGCCACGTGTGCTAGAAAGTTCTCTTCCATGTTAGGAAATGCCTCTGCCCTCATCTGAGAAGTTCTGATCTCTATTCATGGATTATTTCTCCCCTTGTCAGGGTGAGGCACTTGCTCTTTGGGGAAGTGAGGAAACTCATCACAGACGAGTTTGTGAAGCAGAAGTAAGTGGTGGTTTGGGGCATTATCAGTCCCTTAAGTGTTCTGGGTATGTTGGTCTTGTTCAAAAAGTGCTTGATAAGCCCTTTCCTTACACTAGCTTTACAGGTTTTGGCATCCTGTCCACAATTCCCATGGGTAACCATTCCAAGGGCTGAGCCAGAGCAAACACAAGGGCTTTATTTCAGGGTGTGCTCAGAGCAGGGTGCCTGAAGAATGGCTCCTCTGTTTACAACACACCCAACAGGAACTTGGGTTTACTCCTCACAGGTGGCAGGATACTTTGGCCTTCCTGTGACATCATGCCCTATACATGCCTCCCCTGCAGTACCAAGTGACTGCCTGGCACATAGCCAATGGGAAATGGCTTCATATTAGAGGCCAAGACCATGAATTGTGTTTGGAAGTGAATCTGAGGAAGGAGGGTGTTGGAAGTCTTTCTCCAGGAGCTAGTTTAGTATTTGTTTGAAGGAGGTTGCCACTGGTATCCAGTGGTTTGACAACAGATTTGTTTGTTTAGAATGAAGTTTCATTTCCTTTCCAAGGTACCTGGAGTACAAGAGGGTCCCCAACAGCAGCCCACCTGAATATGAGTTCTTCTGGGGTTTGTGCTTCTACCATGAGACCAGCAAGATGAAAGTTCTGGAGTTTGCCTGCAAGGTAATAGGACGCCTGCCCTGACTTGGTATATTAAAGGTAGGGATTACCCCTTATTAGGGCAAGTTATGTACAGGGATGGGCACGTACAGTGCAGCCTGCAGTTCATATATAAATATGTGGAAGTTCATTTTGTCCCAGGATGCTGCTCAACATAAAGTTTACTTTATTTCATTCATTCTTCATATTTTGTATTAGTATGTTCAGAATGTCATAACACAATAGACGGGGTGGCTTAAACAACAGAAATTTATTTTTTCATAGTCTTGGAGGCTGGAAGTCCCAGATCAGGCTCTAGCAGTGTCAGTTTCTGGTGAAGCATCTTGCCTGGCTGGCAGATGGATGCCTTCTTGCTATGTCCTCACATGGTGGGAAGAGAATCTGTTCTTTTGGGGACACTAATCCCATTGGATCAGAATCCCACCATTATGACTTCATTTCATTTCACGTCCATAAAGGCCCCATCTCTAAAAACAGTCATATTGAGGGGTGGTGCTTCCACATACCAATTTGGGAGAGGGACACAACATTTAATCCACAATATATATGTACTCTCTTATCATTTCCCATATTACAGATGAAGATGGGCTCCTTGAGGTTAAGTAACTTATCCAAGGTCACCCAGCACCTAAGTTACTAGAGCTGAAATTGGATCTCAAGACTAACCCATCATAATAGAGCCCCAGAAACTAAAAAATTTAAAATATACTGCTATTGGTTTGATACAAATCCCATAATATGTACTTACTACATCATTATAATGTTATTTTCCTTATAATGATTATCACTCCCATTTCAGGTGCAGAAGAAAGGCCCCAAGGACTGGGCTGCTCAGTACCGGGAGGCAGTGGAGATGGAGGTCCAGGCTGCAGCTGTGGCTGTGGCTGAGTCTGAGGGCAGGGCTGAGGCAAGAGCTCAAGTGGGAATTGGAGAGGAAGCTGTGGCTGGGCCCAGGAATTGGGATGACATGGATATAGACTACCTAACAGTACCTAACAAAGGAAGAGTTAGGCAATGATGCTCAGTCCTGGAGCACATTTTCATTTGAAACTGAGGCTAGAGCCCAAGAAAATGCATATGCCAGCACCAACATCAACTTCAGCAGAGGAACTATCACCAGAGCTAACTTACACAATGGTGCTAGTATTAGCTTCAGTGGTGCACGCAGTCCCATTGGTGGCTTTGGTGACAAAAGTGGCATTAGTTTTGGTGGCACACCCAGCACCTGCTCCAATTTCAGTGGTAGAGCCAGTGTTAGCTTTTGTGGCAGGACCAGTTTCAGTGGTGGAGTCAGCTCTGGGTTTGGAGGCACACTGATCCCCACTGCTGGTTTCAGTGGTGCATTCATTACCAGTGCCAGCTTTGGCAGTGCACCCAGCACCAGTGCACTCTTAGTGGCATACTTAGTACCAGCACTGGCTTTGGTGGCACACTCAGTACCAGAATCTGCTTTGGTGGCCCTCCCAGCTCTGGTGCCAGCTTTGGTGGCACATTCCCTGGTAGTGTCTGCTTTGGTGGTTCTCCTAGTACCAGCGCTGGTTTTGATAGCATACTCAGCACCAGTGTCTCCTTCAGTGGCTCTTCCAGTACCATTGCTGACTTTGGTGGCATACTAAGCACCAACATCTGCTTCAGTGGCTCTCCCAGTACTTGTGGTAGCTTTGGTGGTACAGTCAGCACCTGGGTTGACTTTGGTGGTGCACTCAACACTAGTGCTGGTTTCAGCAGTGCTGTCAGCACTAGCAACAGCTTTAGTAGTGCACCCACCATGAACTCTGGCTTTGGTGGTGTGTTCAGTACTAGTGCTGACTTCAGTGGAGCACTTAGCTCCACCACTGGCTTTGCTCCTAGCACCAGCATTGGCTTTGGTGGAGGTCCCAGCACCAGCCTCTGCTTTGACAATGTTTCTAACACCAGTCTATGCTTTGGTGGCCCTCCTGGCATCAGCACCTGCTTTATTTAGTGGAGCTACCAGTGCTAGTTTTGTTAATGGGCTTAGCACCAGTGTGGGTTTTAACTTTGGCAATGGGTTAAGTACTGACACTGGATTTGGTGGTGGACTAAGCACCTGTGCTGGCTTCAGTGGTGGACTGATCTCCAATGATGACTTTGGTGGTGGACTGGGCACCAATGCTGGTTTTAGCAGCATATTTGGCACCAGGGCTGGCTTTAGTGGTAGTCTCAACATCAGTGATGGCTGTGGTGGTAGGCCTAATACCAGCTTTAATGAAGGACTGAGTATCATCATTGGCTTTGGCAGTGGTTCCAGCACCAGCATTGGCTTCAACGGTGGACCCAGTTTTATCGTTGGCTTCAGTGGTGCACTGAACAGCAGTGCTGGCTTCAGCGGTGGACTGAGCAACGGTGCTGTCTTTGGTGTTGGAGTCATCAGCCTTGGTGCCTGTAGTTTCTCCTATGGCTAGAGAGGTTTCAGGTAATTACAGCATTTCCACAGCTAAGGATCATGGGTATTAATATAAGTGGTGGGAGATGTTATAAGAATCTCCAAGGTGGGAGGGCAGGGTGGGGAGATGAGGACAATAAAGAAGTATGAGAAAACAGTGTATTTGGTACTTAAAATATGTTCCTTTTTGGTGTTTTGTTTTCAGGTTTATTTCCCATGTTTACAGATACCATTAATGAGTTGCAGCAGTCCTTCCTTCTCGTGGAGCCAAGGTACATCCTTGAAATCTTTGTTCACCCAGCAGTCTAAGCAAATACTACCAATCAGCTGAAGTTGGCATGCTATAGAAAAAATTTGGTTGCCAATCCTGCTTTATTGTTTGCTTTTTGTGTGCTGTCATATTTGGTATCAGAGTTACATTAAATTTGCAAAATGAATTGGAGTTTTTTTTAATTGTTCTTAGGTTGTTGTGAGTGATATTATGGGTACACAGAGGAGCTAAAGATCAGCATAGCTCTTGAGAGAAGGTGGGCTAAAAGGCAAGTATGACTTCAATGGGATAGAGACCTGGGCAAAGCATGGCAGAAAGGGAATAATAGCTTAAAGCAAAGATGTGAAGGTGGAAGGCCTGGAACAGAATGCAGAGGGAGCAGGTTCTGGATAGTAATTATAGATTCATTTTGAGATGTTTCTGTAAGAATGGAGGGAGGAGGAGAGAGGTCATTAGAAGTGGACACAGAAACAAGGGAGGGTTTTATTAGGATAGGAAAGAGACCCTACCACGTTTTATAGACCATGGGGGCACGAGCCAATAGAGAAGGACAGCAGGTAGAAAAGGAATAGTCAGGAATTGACTGAAGTAGTGCATCCCTGAGAAGGTGGGATGCAATAGAGTGCCAGAAAATAGAGGGTGGATTTTCAAAGCCAAAGACCCTGACTTTGAACAGGATTTAAGGGTGGCTGTGGAAGCAGATCAATGGAGATTTTCTTCAAGCAGTGATCAGCAACCCAAAAAAAAGCAATGTGGGTTATACAAGGTTTGGGTTACTGGTGGCTGTGATGGAAGGGCAAAGGGATAAATGCAGTGAGAGAACGAGTGTTTTTTTCAGCACATACTATGTGCATGCCTGCTGTGTAGGAGGCATGCTGCTAGGGATCCTGTGGATGACACAGGAAGTTGTAAAGACTAGAGGTCAGTGGTCAGACAGTAGTATTTAAGAAGTCAGACTGGGGAGAAGTCTACATGATGTCAATGTTCATGTAATGGGTAATCAGTGAAGTTGAGGGGGGCTGGGAGGCCAAAGTATTGTTTGGATTATTTATGTGGACAATGATAACACTCATAATGTCAGCAAGAATTGGAGAAGAGAGGAGTACAGTGGTCCAAGTACAGCTTCTCTGAGTATAGGGATGATGGTGTCATGCCCCCAGCCATACCTCCCACCAAAGAACAAGGCTAATAAGCAGTTACAGAAATCTATCTCCTACCTCACTTTTGGAGATGCTACCTCAGACCTCTTTCTGCCAGGAAGCTCTCTCCCATTCCACATCTCCACCGAGCCACTTCACAGGGTCAGGATCTCAACAAGATCCTGTGACAGAAGCCTCACAATGGCCATCTGCCCCCTCTAAAAGGCAGCAAGAGAAGTTTTCATTGATCAGAGAATACAAATTAAGATAAAACGTTTCATCCAGAGCTAGACAGCTCCTTGGTTGTACCTAGAAATCAAGACCTGTTCTAGAAATGCTGAGGGCATCTTCACTGAAAGCAGGACTCTCTCAGTGAGGCCAAATCCAAGGTCCTCTCAGTGTAGAAGAAGAATAAGGATAGAAGCTTCTAAAGGTGTAAGACAGTGAGGAAAGAGGTAGTTTGGACTCCTGGGGAGGACTCAGTAGTGGGCAGGAACAGTATCCAGGGCTTCCTCACGTTCTCGGTTGATGTCCACATTCTGAGAGGAGAAAGCCCAACATTAATAGGAAGGAGACAGCAGTGTGGAGCCCCAACCCGTTCCTGGTCTGCTGTCCTCACTGCTATGCTCTCTTCCAGCTGAGCCCGGATTCTGACCTTTTTCCCAGGCCAGTCCTGGGGAATCTCAGCCTGGGGCCTTTTGGCAGGGGCTGCTCTAGCCCTGCATCTCCGTCGTGCCTCCAAGTCTGGACTGTGATTCCAGCATTTCTGGGCGCTGGCTGCCTACTTGATGGTGTGAAACACCCAATGTCTGTGGAACTGGGGTGGCCTTTCACTGCGGGAGGGTGCTTTTGCCATATGTCCACTTAACCACAGAGTCTCTCACTTACCTCAGGCTTCTCCCGGTGTGTGTTTACAGCCTCCACATTCAGGTAGATGGACTCCAGTTTGCAGCCTCAAAAAGAACCCATCCATCCATAAACCCCCAAGGAAAGCACAGGTCTTCCCTGAGGTGTCATCCCTGACCACCTCCATCACCACCCACACCCCCCGCTCCACACTGTGTGCAGTTGTGACTTCCCTGTGGGGTGGGAGTTTGGACCAGCTCCGTGATGTGTGGGGACAACACCAGGCCTAAGAGGCAGCCCATGGGAAGGCCTCCCAGCTCTTCCCCTAATAGTCTCAGCATTCTCTGAGCCTCCATTGCTCAACTGTCAATGGGAAGATGAAAAAAGATCATCTCTGGGCCCCCCCCCAACTCTTGTGGGTTGTGAGACAGCAATTTAATGTATATAATGACGGAGCTCTGTGAGTCCTCCAAGGTGAGTCAGGTGGTGAAGTTGTGGGAGAGTCCTGGGGCCACTGCCTTGGGACCATCAGTCCCAGGTAAAGTTTATTTAGAGGACAATGGTTATGGCAACATCCAAGGTGTGGAATGTTACAAAGGAGTTTGGGGGAGCCTGAAGAAAGAGGAAGGTGGTATCACTGGGGCCTGGGGCTGGCAGAGGAGGCCCAATGCCTGCGGAAACCCCCTCTGTAAAACTTCATCTCTGGATTGCACTCTACTCCGGGCACTCTACTCCACTCTACTCACCTTCAGTACACCAGCTGCCCTGTACACAGTCCAGAAGAGATCTGAGACTGTCCCTTCCCTGCCCATGAACAATTCACAGCTAACTAATGCCACAAGAGAGAATCTAAAGTGCCCAGCTAGCCTTTAAGCCCAATCTTAAATCTGGCCCCAACATACACTTGTTCCTCTGGTCTTGTTTGGGGATATCCCACCCCAGCTAAAGCTTGGTGCTCTGTGCTCAGTGCTCTCGAAGAGACAGAGGAAGGTGGGGCTAGAGGCCATCCCAGTTTTCCTCATTCTCATCTTGCCACCACCAGTCCTACCTCTACTAGCAGCCAACTCCCCACCCAAGAAACCTCCACCATGACTACTGAGCAAATGGTATGCACTAGAGGCATCCTTATGGCCTGTAATGCCTTTTCCCAGTTGAAGGTGGAGGCTCTTACCATAAGCCACAGGTGTGAGTTTGAACACTGTGTGCAGAGGGCACTTGAGATATGGCAGCTCATCTGGAAAGGAAGAGAAGGTGATAATCAGGGACAGGGTGCTGGGGAGATCACCAAGTTCCCAGGCTTACAGGTTTTCAGCACTTTCCCTTGTCCACACCCTTTCTCCATGGTTGTCCCCCCAGGGGTCCACTGCCTTGCACCCTGCAGGGTGGGCAGGGAGGAAGAGAGCAGGGAGGAGGCCGGAGGGCCCTGGGGAATGCAGCCAGACTGTGGGTCCCCCAGGACGGCCAGGCTGGTCACCTTGGAGGTGGCCTACGTCCTCAGCCACAGGGCAACCTGGACAACAAGGCAGGCCTCCCACCTCCCCCCAGCCCCGCCCCAGCCCCGCGCCTTCCACGGGCTCCCGGGCCACAGAGGCCCACATGGCCTCTCCCCACGCGTTTCCTGAGAACCTGCGGTGCAGGAGGCCCTCGGAGCAGGTGTGCTGGTCCCCGGGCAGCTCCACAGCATTCGCCCCCGGCTGGGCCTGTGCCCTCTGACTCCTCTGGCTCTTGTCGACCCACAAGCATTCCTCAGTTCCCTCGTGTCCAGTCATTGACTATGATGCATACATTTTTGCGAGTATTCCCTTGCCCTTTCTTCTATGGGCCTCCTACATGTTGTCACCCGACATCCCCGCGGGGACAGGATGATGGGGCCCAGTGCCCAGATGAGGAAAGGGAGGCTCCGAGAGTCAGGACACTCACTCTGAGGCACAGAGCTGGGAAGAGGCAGCGCCGGGCCTGGCACCCAGAACCCTCTGAGTTCAGATATGTGCTCCGCCCACTGCAGGCCGCTGCCCCTGCCCCCAGGGGCTCCCGCACGGTGTCTTGGGGGTGACACCCCCGCACTCAGCACTCTCTCATGACACCCAGTGGCCCGCCCTCCCACACTGCCCGTACCACTCCCCATCTCCCTTCGGGAAGCCAGAACCGCTCGGCTCATGGCTTCCCGGCCCCGAGGTGCCTCCTACACAGGTTAGGGCCCTGCCGATGCCCTCCCAGGCCCCGGAGACAACTGTGTCGGCACTTTCCTGGGCATCCATCCTGCTCCGCCTCCTCATCTTTGTCACCATCTCCGTCAGGCCCTGGGCCTCACACTCTGGTGCACTGTCTCCTTCCCACCTCGCTGATACTCTGCGGGCGTTACTGTTCCTCCTGCCGCACAGGGCGGGGCAGAACAGACTCACGGTAGGGACCCCACTTTGCCTGAGGCCTCTGACCCCGCTCTGCCACCGCCTGCGCAAGTGGCCTGGCCCTGCCTTTTCTCTCTCTGGCCCTTCGAGGTCCCACCTCTCACAGCATGGGATTGGACTAGGCTACTCTGAGGGCGCCCCAGCTCTGTGGTCCAGTGGACCAGCACTCTTAGCCACCTCATGTCTCTGGGCCTCAGTTTCCTCACCTGGGTAACAGGGGTAGGAGCATGCGCTCAGCCTGCCTGGCTCAGCTCCCAGGGCAGCTGTGAGCAGCTGGTGTGGCCCGCGCATGGAAGCAGGTAGGAGGTGGGTAAAGGAGTGTGCAAACAGGGCACGCACCTGCTGCTGACACACTCCATGCATATCTGAGGGTGGGGAACGCATCTAGAATTTATCTGGGATCAATGTCCCTGTCAGTCCTTCCGAGGCTCATGACCTAGGTAGAGTCAGGCACTTCACCTCTCAGAGCCTCTCTCTCCTCATCTGCACAGCTGGGTTACAGCGCTCACCTCAGTCTCAAAGAGAACACCAAGCAGTAGATATGTGGACAATATCAGAAATCTGGTAACACAAGGACTCTCCTACCCCAGCCCCCATCACTTTTTTCCAGTGAGGGGAGTATGGGCCTGTTAGAGGAAATGATTTGTCCAATGTCAAGTTCTCAAGTTCCTTGGGTTCCAATTCTGGATGACTCCATATTACAAGTGTCCTTGATTTTGAAACTAACAATATAGAAATGATGCAAATCCTCAAACACTGTTCACTTCAAATATAGCTTTGCTCTGTCCTCACACACCCTCACAGTGTCCTGGAGATGCTAATACTGTAGCATCCACATCACAAGTGTAATCTCACACCTGAGGGTGACACAACAGTCCCTTGCCAGGCCATCTGCCCTAGTTTGTGATTCAGTATATGTAGTCAATGCATAAATACTCTGTAAATTATAATGTTTAGATATTTTTTAGAAAAGAAACAATCATTTAAATTTTTAAAAATGAAAACACTATCTTGAAATCACCTCTACAGCAAATATAGAAACCTGTAATCAGAATCATGAGGCCACAAAAGGTCCATTACCACCTGATGACAGCATGCTTCAGAAAAATACTGCCTCAGCTTTTCCAGATTGAGGTAGAGTGTAAAGGCTGGCTTTGAAGACATTAGCTCAGATTGGTAATAATAATAATAATAATAATAATAATAGCAGATAACATGTATGTAGCCTGTGCTATGTGTCATGAACTGTTCTAAGTTGTTTACAAATGTTGATTTATTCAAACTTTATCATTATTCTCCCCATTTTACAGATGAGGAAATTGAGGTCAGAGGTTAAAGTAATTTGCCAAAGCTAGTATGTGATAGAGCAAGAGCTTGAGCTCAAGCATCTTTATCCTAAATACTGTGTTCTTAACTACTAAGACATAAACCACCACTTGCTAGTATCAGGGTTTCAAATCACACCCAACTCCCCATGCCAGGAACAGAGAGAACAGTGGTACCTGAGGTCTTATCCAGGAAGTAGGCTAGCAGGCACCGCATGACAGCCTGGTGACAGATCACCAGTACATTTTCCTGCCGTTCTAGCTCCATTATAACTGGCTCCAGACGCTGAACCAGATCCTCATAGGACTAAAAATAAGAAAAATACTTGAGTAAGATAGGGACATGAGGCATATTTGTCCATAGGAGAGGAACTCTAGACTAGGAATCAGGAAAACTTGTTTGTGGTGCCAGTTCAGTTGTTGACTCAGCAGTATGACCTTAGGCAACTCACTACATTCTTAGGGTCTTGGTTTGTCATCTATTGAATGGGAGGAGAAATCAATATATTCAACTAGGTATCAATAACAATAATAAAACTTCCCACTACAAAAATTCCTATAAAAGCTAGATAAAATAAATGCCTGTACTGCCAACTTTTCAAGAAAAAAAAAGGAATCATCATAGAGTTCCACCAAAACACTAATTTGAAAGAACATAAGCACCCCTATGTTCATTGCAGCATTATTTATAATTGCCAGGATATAGAAGCACCCCAAGTGTCCATCACTAGATGAGTGGATAAAACAACAATGGGATGTTTACACAATGGAATACTACTTGGCTGTAGAAAAGAAGAAAGTTTTACCCTTTGTGACAGTATGGATGGACCTGGAGAACATTATGCTATGTGAACTAAGCCAGTCAGAGAAAGACAAATACCATAGCATTTCACTCACATGTGGAATCTAATGAACTGAACTAATAAGCAAAACAGAGGCAGACTCATAGATAGAGAGCAGATGACACCTATGGGGAGATTAGGGTGTAAAGCAATTGAGCAGAATGGAAAAAGGACTCATGGATATGGACAACAGAGTGGTGATTGTGGGAGGAAGGGGGTATAAGGGGAGTAAATGGTAACAGAAAAATACAATAAGAAACAAAAAATAAAATCAATAAATATAGGCTTCCAAAATGAATAAAACCTTGGGGGGAAGGAGTGATAAGTGGGTGTGGAAGCTACAACTACCCTGAGGGCACTTATCAATCATGCTGTACAAGACACTTGAGTTTTTAAAACCTTATAGAGACAGGAGACAAGGCCTTAGGTATGCACAAGTTAGAGAGTTGCAACTGAAATTCTCAAATAAACCTGAGAATCTCAGAGGACTACATCCACAATAAAAGTATAAACTGAAAAAGAGTATATATAGGCAAAGAGAAACAATAAGAACATGTATCTGTGTCTGCTTGACTCTTAGTACAAAAAATTAGGAAATGCTTCCTGTAAGAATGTACAACCACAAATCTACCCTCCAGTGGGTTTGTGGTTGAGCATTACACTCTCCATGTGTTTTAGAAAATGTTAAGTTGAGATTTTAATAAGAAGTGATTTCCATTTGTTAGCACCCAGAAGAGTTTGGAAAAAGCAAATAGAAATTTTATCTGGACTCTCTCAACTCACATTGCATGGGATTCCCACAGTTAAATTATTGCCAAACTGAAGATCACGTAGTATGCAAGAAAAATAAACTATCTTGAGTGAAAATAAGCAGAAAAAAACCCCAAGAAGGGAACCTTAAAATTTTAAGATAAATAATGCAAAATATAAAACAAATATCTTTAAAATTTTTAAATAAATAAAAGAGGGAGTAAAAAATTGTAAAGAAGAAATGAGCTGCTACCAAATAAATGATGTAGATTTGAAACAAAACTAAATAGAATTGTAGACACAAAACATATCCATCAAAATTGAAAAAATGAATGGAGTAAACAGTTTAGATACAACTTAAGAAATAGGAATTTGGAAGACAGAGATGAAGAAATTACTCCAGTTGCAGCAAAGAGATAAAAAATAAGAAAAAAAAAGTAGACCTTAAGAACAGAGACAGGACTAATGCATTTAATTGCATTTCCAGAAGGAGATAATACAGAACCATGTGAGAGAAGAATAGTTAAAGATATAATGTCTAAGAGTTTTTCTAGAACTGATGAAGACTCTCAATATACAGATCAGGATCCCAACCCAAGCAAGATAAATGAAAATAAATTAATAATTAGACATGTCAGAAAACAACTTAAAAGCAATAAAGATACAAAGACCCTGAAAACAGCCAAGAGAAAAGGAACATCAATTAGACTGATAAGAGACTTCTTAGCCACATTAGATGGTAGAAAACAGTAGAGATAATATCTTCAAGGTACTGAGAGAAAACAACCATCAAACTACAATTTTATACCCAGAATATCATCTAGGACTGAGCCCAGATCAAGACCTTTTCTAAAAAATATTTTATTTTTATTTATTTTTAGAGAGAGGGGAAGGGAAGGAAAAAAGGGAGAGGAACATCAATGTGTTGTTGCCTCCTGTGTGTCCCCTATTGAGGACCTGGCTCCCAACCCAGGCATGTGCCCCGACTGGGAATCAAACCAGCAACCTTTCAGTTCACAGTCCAGTACTCAATCCACCAAACCACACCAACCAGGGCTATAATGTAATTTCTAAGGATGAAGATAAAAATGTGAAAATGCTTTCACACTGGATATCAATTGTTTTATCTTCTCTGATATCCACCCTTTCTGATAATTCTTCCCAAGAATTTGTATCAGAAATGGAATACAATGAATAAATACTCTAAAATATAGAACTGTCTAAATGGAGGCTGGGTAGAAAGCAATGAGGATTTACCTCAAATGGGGATAGGGGACCATCAGGTCTGGTTCATGTGGTGCCAAAGAAGTAGGTTAAAATTTTAGCCATTGCTCATTTGGCTTCTAACCCACTGCCCAGAAAGGCTGGCGCTTTAGACAACTTGACAATAAAATGTCAGGAAATTAGAGTATGTTTAACTATTTTAAGTTCCTTTAGTGAAAGGATACTAGAGACAAAGTCTACAATAAAGTGAGTCCTCCTAAAAGCAGAGAGGAAATAAGCAGGCAAATATGTAGCTTTTAAAACAGGAATCTCTTGCCTATAGGCAAGAATCTGAGACATCCAAGGGCCAGATAATTATGTGCCTTGTGAGATGGCAGTTACTGAAAAATATGCTTTATCTTGTTTCTAAAGCAATCTAGGAAACTATGGAACCTAACCGTTGGAATGGAGACATTGGGGAGGAGTTCTATGAATCAGCCCATCCTTCAAACCTTACCTCTCCCTTGGGATAGCGGTATCGATATTTATCTTGGTCCCTTAGTGCAAATTCTTCAGGGTAATGTTCCTGAATTTCTTCATAGGTCATCTCCTCACACACACCCTGAGAAAAGTTATTTGGAGACAAAAATATTCACAAAGTGAGATCCACACAGCCTTTAGCATAGTTTTGAGGCAAAACGATGGTAGAACAGTAGCACCTAGGTTTCTGTGAACACAGCTCTGGGTTTGTGCCTGCTGAGTGTGTGTGCACAAGGTGTGTGGCTGTGCAGATGTGAGAGTGAGAGCATGTGTATAGGTGTGTTCAGGATGAGTATACGGTAAGTCTCTGTAATGTGTCATGTGATTGTCCTAATATGTTTGTAGGTGTACATTTTACATATATGTATGGATTTCTATCAATATTTGGGCTTAAGGATTTGTGACTTTGCATGTGTGGATGCAGCATGTTTATGGTGTATACCTGTGGTATGTTGAGGGACCAATGATTTGTGTTTGTGTATTTATCTCATTATATGTGGTGTACTTGTGTAATTGTTTGTGTACAGGGTGTCTGAGCATCTGACAATGTGCCTGCATGGTTGTTTCTATGGTATGTCTTTCCATGTGTGTCTCTGTATCTGTGGCATGTGTATTTGTGAATCTGTATGTCCCTGGTTATGTTTCTAGTGTATATGTGTGACCATATGTGTGCCTATGTCTGAGGTTTGTGTGAATTTGTGGTAAAATATGCTTGAGGCTGTGTGTCTGTACTGTGTATTTGTCTATGGTATGCCTCTATGTGTTCATGTGATGTAGAAATATGCAAAGACAGCATGTGTCTATGGTGATTGTGAATGTGTCTATATGTATCTTTAGGTGTGTCTGTAAATGTGTATGTGTGCATGCATATAGTGTAGGTGTTATTGGTAGATGTGTCTGAGAGATGGCCTGTATCTGATTATTGAGTCCATGTGTGTGTGAAGTGCATGTCTGTGACTGTAACCATACATGGAGTGTGTGTCTGTGACTGTGTATGCAGGTTTGTGCATCCACAGCAGGGTTCTCCCATTTTATAACATTTCTCATCCTTCCTGCGCATGCCTCTGCTCTAGGATCTCTGGCAGATAAAGAAACAGCTATCTATGGAGATCTCAGAAGGCAAAGATTAGTAAATCCCTATTGATTTGAGTGGACCCAGGGGAGATACACTCTCCTCACCCAAAGAAGAAATCGGGAGCCAGAGATTGTTCCTCAAGAGCATATGAGAGCTCTGAGTCCACTGAGAAGTCTCCAGAAGTGAGATGGCTGCTGCTGGAGTAGGAAAGTGATATTGGGTTTATGTTTTCCTTCTGGTTGTGTGGATTCCAAGGATTAGACCTTCCTATAGGGAGAGCAGCAGGCTCTGGCTGTTGTCTTTTGAGCAATCTACCAGGTTTCCTTTAGGGGTGAGGCTCACCTCTTCCCCAGCCCACAAACAACTTTGCATTGTCAAACTTCTCCAACTGGCAGTGCTCATGAGAGAAAGTGTGCCCATGAGAGAAAGTGTGCCCTATGGAATACCCAAGGTCCTTCTAGATTGGCTTCAACTTTCTATTCTGAAGCATTTTGGGAACCTGTTGCCTGTGGAAATGGTCACTGATTCCCTATTGACTTAAGGAAAATTGCCTAATCTCTTTGAATTTTATTTTCCTTATCTGCAAAATGAGGAGAATCACATTACCTCACAAAAGTATTTTGCCTATCAGAGGTAGTATGTGCAAAAGAGACTAGTACAGGATGTACAGAGCACATTTTAAAGACTCAATCAATGGAACTAATTATTAATATATTACTGATCATGGAAAACAAACCAGAAACCTAGTCATCATTCTAAATTCTTGCTTATTCCTGATCCACCCCCTCATAATGGATTGCTAAGACTCTACCTCCTAAAATTCTCTCAAACCTATTCCTTTTTCCCTCCCTCTTACTTTCCATTGCTACAACTTTAGCAGTTCCACATATACACAATACCCTCTTTGCTTAAGATGTTCTCTCTGCCTGGCATACTATTCCTGATCTCCTCTACCTGGCTCAATATTAACTCTCCAAGTTAACACTGGCATCATTTCCTCCAGGCAGATCCTGGCTGAGCCAGATGCCCTGCTCTGATATCTGTGCGCCTATAGTAGCCCATCAGAGGCTGTATTACCCACACTGTTCTGTACTCCTTTGTGTATTTATCTGTCTGCCCTGTTTAGCCCCAAATCTCAGTGAAGACAGGAACTAATCTCCATCTCCAGTACCACCCCAGTGTTGAAACAAAGTTTCCAATAAATGTTTACATCACATATGTGCTAGAAACAAAGCCTAAATGTACTCTTATGATGAAACACTTACATAGTTTCTTGCGTGCATTTTATAGCAAATGCATGTGATATCTAGAACAATGCTTTATATACCTTTTCTAAGTATGTGTATCACTGTGCATATTTATGTATGTATGTGTGTATAGACACATACTTGTCTGTATTTGTACAGGTATATTTAGTAGAGAAGCAAGTTAACCTACCTACATTCAAGTTATCTACACCTGTGTTGAAGCTTTTACTCTAAGGTCTAACAATCATAACCTGAGCACTGCTACCTGATGTCAGCATATATATAGTGCAGGTGAGACAATGGAGAGGAAACAATGCCTTTTCAAAGAGCTCATGAGAAAACCTGACACTGAAGAGAGATTGCCATGTCATGAGGGTCAGATGACATATTTCCTAAGTTTTTCTTCTTCTTTTCATCTCCAATGCCACCTTCACCTCTTGTCTGGACTAATGCAGCCATCTTCATACTGGTCTACATGCTCGTCCTGGCCTTCTTCCTACCTAGTCTCCACACGTGAGCAGAGTGGTCTTTTAGTTTGAAAAAATGTGAATCACGTTCAAGCCACTCCTCCTTGACTTAGACCACATCAGTGGCTTCCCTTTTAGAGGGCAGCATCCAAATCCCTCAACATGATATAAAGCCATATAAGCTGCCTTCCTTTCCAACCATTTCTCCCTTATTTCCCTTAAAACCACAGCCCCAACCTCTCTGCTATTCTATCCTCAGTTCTTTGTACATGCCATGCTCTCTTCTCACCTCTCAGCCTTCACATGAGCTGTTCCTTGCCACTGAAATTAAATTTATCCTCTCACTCCCAGCCCATTTTGCCTGTTTATTTTCTCACTTCTAGCTTCATGTAGGAAGCTTTCCTTGTAAACCTCCACATCTTGTCAGGAGCACCCTAACCTTCTGAGCCTCCACAGTCCCTTGTACTTCCCCTGTCACAATCCTTTGTCACATGAAATGCAGTGTCTTATTTACTGTCTGCCTTTGGGCCCCAAGAGGAAAGGAAACTTGTCTGTTCTGTTCTAGCTTTCACTGGATCCTTAGCATACAGAATGGTGTCTGGCACATAGCTGGTTGTTAAGAAATGTTTCTTGAATTAATTAGGTTACCATAGAGGTCAAAACAGAGGCAATCCAGGGTATAAGCCCAGAGTCAAGTCCCGCCATCCACCAGGAAATCCATGCCCCTATATCTCACCGCATCAATCTCATTTAGGGCCTTCCACTGCTCATAGGGGACGCCCAGGGCCTCAGCTGTTTGGATGGTCCTCTTCATGTGGCTGGTCCACACTTTCAGGGAGCTGATGTCCTGGGACTGAATGAAGTTGGCCAGGACATAAGCATACTGTAAAGTGGGGGTACAGTTGAGGAGAGGAGGGGAGAAAGAAAAGATAAAAGAATACAGGGTAGCCATGAGAACAAGTTCAGATCTGTCACAAATGGTAGAAAGATGATATACAAGCATGAATACAGAGTTTAAATATTTCCGGTTTATAAAAAGGTTATACTGTTTCCCAAGAGAATAGAAAAGAGTATGCGTGTTTCTGTGTGTATATGTGTGTATGTTTGTTCACTGATGCTTAGTTACTGAATACTCTACTCAGTTATTCATTTGTACAAACAGTCCACCTATAACATTTGTAGAGACTGGGACAAGAGGACAAATGGAGGCACTCTACCAGCAGTCTACCTCCCTTCTCTTCCTGTCTCTATCCCACCACTCATAGATGTTTATAGATAATCCAGTCACATCACCAAGTCCTGTCCACCCTATATCTTCACCAATTCCCCCTGATCCACAAACCGATCCTTTGGCCACCCCTTCACCTAGGGGTGAACACTCCTGTTATGTGGCCTACTCTTACACGGACAGACCTGGGAATAAGGTCATGTAGGTGCTGGAAACACACTAGACCACAAGAGCAGGGATTCCTAGTGTCTGGGTACTCAGAATATGGTGTGGATGTGGTATGGTGGCAATTTGGGGGAATTTCTCATTGATCCTTCAAATTCTTATTGCTTTAGTAGGTGTCCTGGTACCCAGGTCCTCAGAGCATTCGAACATGTACTGAGTGTATGTGGACCTATGATGGGTAATAGGGTGTCCTGTTCTCAAGACACAATCAGTGCAGGGAGGAAAACAACAACAGCACCAAGAGAAACCACACAGGGCTGTGGGAGCCCAGGTGAACAAGGGATTCACTCTCCTTCTGTGTATAGGCATGTTACTAGTCACAGATGGTGCGTGAGGAACATTGCACAAATGCAGAGACACGGGCACACGCTTAGATGCAGAAACATGGGCATTGCGTACACACATCCTGATGGTGGATTCTGAGTCAGCAGGCAGTGTGCTCTGGTGGAAGGAGCCCTTGGCTGGGAGGTAGGTGATGGGGATAAACTGCTCCAGCTCCCTTACACAGTCCCCATGTGCCTGGGATGTGTCCCTGAGCTGCTCTGGCCTTGGATCTCCTGCCTGTAAGATGTGAACAGCACGAGGTCTCCCAGCCTGCTCACTGTGCGTGCAGATCAGAGTGGATGGGCAGCCCCCAGAGCACTCCCTGGCACACAGCAGGTAGGAGCTGCTGTGATCGATGTGGGTGACAGTCCATGGGAAATCACACAGTGCACTGTGCCCATGAGCACTGAGGTTGAGCCAGGTGGTGCGTGCACATGCCCGCATTTGTGTGGAGGGAAGTGCGCCATTTGCAGATGGCCACATGTCCAAATTGGGTGCTGAGCTACGCAGGCAAGGCCGGGGTCAGCCCCAACCAGGAGACCCCTGGCTGTGGGTGGTACCATGAGGTGGGACTGATGCCTCTGGTGGCCTCTGACTCTGCTCTAAGGAGTGGGAGAGGTGAAGAGTCAGAGGTCAGGGTCCACCTCGAGAGGAAGCTGGCAGTCTGAAGGCAACAGAAAGGGAGCCATGAGGACACAGCTGCTGGTGAGGTGCCTTGCCTGTGGCACTGCCATCTCTGCAGTGGGGGATGCTGAGGGGCAGGCAGAAAGGCCAGGTTTTCAGTCCTGGCTCCAGCTGTGTGACCTGGGGCTGCTTTCTGCTCCTGTCTGGAGCTAAGCCTCCTCATCCATAAACTGGTGACAGTACTGCCTAGCTCGCAGAGCTGCCACAAAGATCAAATGAGATCACACACATGAAAGCAGATGGCACTATGACTGTGCACAAGTGTCCCATAAAAGAGAGTGCTCCCACCCTGGCTGGTGTGGCTCAGTGGATTGAGCACCAGCCTGCAAACCAAACAGTCGCCAGTTCGATTTCTAGTCAGGGCACATGCCTGGGTTGCAGGCCAGGTCCCCAGTAGGGGGTGCTCAAGAGGCAACTGCACATTGATTTTTCTCTCCCTGTTTCTCCCTCCCTTTTCTCTCTAAAAATAAATAAAATCTTTCTTAAATTAAAAAAAGATTGAAAAAATAACAAAAATAAAAGAGGGTGCTCCCTATATCCTGTACCCCACTTCCCACTTGTCCCATCCCCAAGTGAATTCCCCCAGCAAGGACCTGTGCTAACAAGCCCAGGAAGAGGGTCAGCCTGGGGAGGATATGTCCCTTTATTGAACCAGCACCCATAATGCTTGTCTGGATAGAAGGAGCTCATGCCATAGAGTCAGAGTTTGGCCAGTGCTGGGATAGATAGATCCCAGGATGTGGTGACCTGTCTAGGGGCAGGAGAGGACAGGAGAAGGCTTCCTGGACCAGACTGGGGAGCAGGAACTACACTTCACAAGGTGGTATGGGAGGTAGGGGAAGAAAGAAACAGTAACTGGTGAGAGATAAGTGCTGACAGTGTGATGGCCTGCAGTGGGGTAGAGGTGGTGTAACATCAGCCCTGGGTAATGGAGGAAAAGATGGATTCAAGGATGGGGCACTTCAGCACAGCTGACTGCAAGTAATAGCCACTAGCTGACAAAGGAAGGCAGCCTAGGTGAGGAAACTGCACAAGTGAAGGCACACAGTTGTCAGTAAGATGAGGGACAAGTCAGGCAGGGGCAAAGGGAGATCATCATACTGGGGCTGGAAGAGCAGCCAGATCTAGGCAGGCCTGAAGTGCCAGGACCAAGTTTTCAGACTCGCAGCTCCTGTGGGCACATGATACCCTTTCAAGCATGGGTCAAGACTGAGTGGCTGACAGGGCAGAAGAATGGGAGTGACCTGTTACTGAGTACCCCCAACCTCAAGACAGAGGCAGTGGCCACTCCACCGCCCACGGCCCACCTAGTTTAGCTCAGCCTCAGTGTGCCTCAGTGCACAGGGCCCTCCCTACCTGCTTGCCCCGAGCTGAGAGGCCAGAGTCACCTCCAATTCGGCCTCTGAGGTTGAGTTCACTCTCACCGTGCCGGGATAGGTAGATGGAGCGGGGTGTGACATGGATGTTCATAAGATAGTATACTGTGCGGCTCTGGACGTGGTCCTGCACTCGATTCACCATGTAGCGTGTGCCCACGTCGAAGATCTTGATGTAGGACAGGTGGCTGGGTCAGTCCAAGCAAGAGCAAGGAAAGTTCAGGGGCTGAAGGTGAAGAGACTAATCCCAAGAGAAACCCCCAACACATACTCGACTTCCAGCCTCCTCCATAACCCAGCTCTCACCTACCTTCCCTGTAACAAGATGCCATACTTTGTCTTTTTCTGGGAACCTGTTCTGGAGACTTGGTTCCTGACCACCTTCAGGAACTCACTGCCTGCTACCATCTCCCTCTGTCTCCTTTTCTCAGTCTCAACTTGAGTCAGGTTGTCTTTTCACCTTCATTCATCACACTCCAGGCATCTAGGGTTCCCTTTAATGTGGTTCACATTCCTGACATTCTCAGTGAGAAGAGGTAATCCTCTGTGTCCCTGGATACCTCCAACATCTCATTGGCAGTTTCAGATTTGTCCACTCCTTTGCTCTTTCAAGTCATGAGCCAAGCTCTGCCTCTCTGTTCTTTGAACCTATGCTATGACATATTGTACTTGACACTCTGTAAGCAGTTACCAGATTATGTCTTTGTGTGCTTGTGTCTCTGTGTAAGTCTCTTTTCTTACTCAAAAAGGAGAGTGACTTGGGTTGTTTCCCTATCTTCCATGAAGTCAGCACACACACCCTTGTCTGTTCTGTGCACTGTGCTTGGGCTGAGCACTCAGCACTTGCCCTTTGGGAGTTAGGCCAGGTAGAAATACATATTTAGAAATTCATGATCAGTGCTCAACACCTATTCTCCAAACAGTCACTAGTCACTTACTCTAAGATGTGCCATGTGCTGGGGTGTGGGAATACACAGATGTTTTACAGCATCAGTGGGAAACTTGTGGTCCTTGCTTAAAGCTCTTTTTTAATCACCTCAGTTCTGTGATTTGTCATAAACTGACAACTATAAACAGAATTATAATCAAATTATTCAACAACCTCTTTGCAGAGAGCTCAAAATGGGGGACATTGACTAATCAGAAGACTAGAACCATGGAGCAAGACTTATGAGGCACTTGTTGTGCCAGGCATTAATTCCTAAGTTGTCTGATTGTAAGGAGTTCAGGGTGATCCCTGTAAACAGGTGGGGGAGGCTGGGGCAATGGGGTGACGCACCAGGAGCCCTGTGTGGACAGTAACAAAACCCAGTGAATGGAAATAGCTGCACTAACCCAAGGCAGGTAAGGCAGTGGCTGATGGGTTTGGTTCCAGAAAATTTCTCTGATGCCCCTAAAGAAGGCATTTCTATCTGCACCATGCTCATCATGCTCATTCCTATCATTCATGTCTAATGGTTCCCATAGGGCATTCATATTTGCTGAACATTTTGGGGGCTTCTGGCAGGGAATGAAGACTTTCAAGTACATAATTCTGTATAACAATCCTAGAACGTAGAGATCATTATCTGTGTTTTATGGTTGAGGAAGGTGAAACAGAGAGGAAGGTTAAACAGAGAGAGGAAGCGATTTGCCTAAGGTCATCCTCTCCAAGGACTCTCAGAGCTTAGGATTAGAAAATAGATGATGTAGCATTGTTGCATGGTTACTGTCTGTTCTTGACATTAGGTTCTTGGTGGATCTAGGAGAATTTCCAAATTCCTCAGCTTAGTCTGATATTCTAGGTGCCTTCACATACTGGTTCCACTTGGCCTAACCTCACTATTCCATGCTCATGGTTCATAACTTCTTTATTTCAGTTCAGCCTTTATGCCTTTGCTGGAATAGTCTCTGTACTCCTCTACCCTTATTCAGATTTAACTAGGCCACTATGAAGTGCTATCGTCTTCACTTGAAAAAGTGTTCCTTGCCTGGTCTCCAAAGTTGAAGTCCTATGCCTTCATCCTTCAAGAGCCAGTACACTCACTCTCTTTAGAAGACTTATTTGGTCCAGGATCAGAGATGCTTCACACCAAAAGTATTACAGCAACTAATACCCATACATACCATGTAAAATTTAAATAAAGTTATAAAGTATATTATAGTATGAGGAGGTTATACCAAGTCCTGGTTTCATTTTTTTTTCCATTTTGACTAACTTGATGCTGGAAATATAAAATATTAAAATATTTCAAGATTATTTTCTTATTTTTGGTAGCCTCTGCCTTGCTGGTGCCCTAAACACATCTAGTCTACCTACTGGGTAAACTTGCTCTTCTAGACCTCTTCCACTGAGCTGGGCTGGGTCCCCTCCTCTGTGTTCCTCCAGCACACTTCTATCATTCCCACTATTTTAATCAACTGCATACTCCTTGTCTTCCCCAACCAAGTGGTGCTCATTCTATTAGAGCAGGGATAGACCTTTCTTCTTTGGGTTCCTAGGGCAAAGATTAGGGATGGGCCCTGAGGCATGGACTATAATTGTCTTCTGATGGAAAAAAAATGATTAAATAAAATCAACCCTCATAATCATTCATCTTCATGCCCAAACTGATTCATCAAACATCTGAGCACCTGCAGGAGAACAGGTTGAAGGCTAGGGGCTTTCTCAATATCATTATTTCCCCTGAGCTCATCTCCTTCCAACTTCTTCCACCATATACTGTGCTAGCCCTTATTGTGCTTTTGTGGAAATTTGTAAAGGTATCACTTTCCTTAGGGCAGAAACAGCCCCACTCCAGCATACATGCCTTGGTGAGAGAAGTAAGTGCACACTTGACCTAAATGCCCATGCACAAAGAACAATCCTCACAATTGTACATAAGGTCCTGACTCTTGCACTAAGTGTCTAAGCCTCATGTGACACTTATGATATCGAGATTTGAGAAATGAAGAATCAGGCTGGAAGTCTGAAGATAAGGTTTGAGTATATATTCTGCTACTGATTCATTGTGTGGTCTTAGGTAAGCCCTTTCCCTACTCTGGGTCTCGATTTCCCAATTTGAGGAGTAAGGCAGTAACAATGCTCACCTTTTAAGACTTCAGTTAGACAAAGCTGGAAGGATATTCTTTAAACTTCCTAGTGTAGTATTGACTGTTGAAACCTCCTTACCCTTCTCACTTAGGTTCCAAAGAGTCTGAGTGATGTGAGTCTCTTCTCATCACAACCCATTTTGAAAGAGAGTAGGGTTCTGGGAATATCTTATATCTAAAACTTAACATCTTCCCTATACTGTCAGCTGACACCTGTCCTGTATTTACCGGTATTTTGAATAAAAATTTCAAGTTTTTCATGTGTCTTCCCATATTGCAAGGCACTATGGAAGCTACCTGAGGATAGAATGCACCTCTCTTGCCCTTATTTATACTCCCTATGTATACCATAGCCAAGAGGGACCAAATACTTATTGATTGAAGAGGTATATGTGAGTACTGTAATAAGAGACATGGCTAGGAGACAGAATATGTGGTTAGAACTCCAGCCCTATTATTGAGTTATGGTGGGAGCTGTGACAAGTGTTTTCAGCTAAGACTCAATTTCCTCTTTTTGAAATTTATGATCATAAGGCCTATTTAAGTCTCTTCTATTTGAAAGAGGGGATTCAATTAAACAAGATGAACATGTTTGAAAACTGAAGTATCATCCACGGGTAAAGAATACTTTTCAAAAAATAATAGCAGTAAAGACAGGAGGGAGGCTCCCCCTGCCCCCTCACCCTGAGGTCAGGTCCCTGATCTGTCTGTATTGCTCAGGAAAGCACTCCTTCAATCTTCTCATGAACACCTCACACATCAAAGAATAACCACCTCATTGATAAGTAGAACTAGGAGCATCCTTGAAGACAAATCATCAAGTCCAACTCCCTAATGTTACACATAAAAAAGTTGAGGCCAAGAGAGGGAGGAAATTTCCTTAGGTCCTACAGGACATCAAAACATGGCTAAGGATGCAGACCTGGGTTTTGGGGTTCTGGGCTCTTACCTGTCCACTTCATCATCCAAGGGTTGGTAATTGAGTTCATAGCATTCAATTCTTTTTAGAAAGTCTTCTAGAACCTTTTCTCGGTCACAGTGTATGTAATCAGGGCTTCCGAGTTTCACTTGCTGGGAGAAGGGAGAAGGACAGAGGGACCATGGGAGACAGAGACTCTGACAGTGCCCTTAGGAAGGGTCTTTAGAGATCATTGAGTACAACATACCTCATAATAAAAATGACAAAATTGAAACTTGGAGAAAGGGTCTTGCTTAAGTTTACAAAATGAATCCATTGAAAATCCGGATTGTGTAATTCTCATTACTTATGTATCTGTGTGGTCAAACAAGGCATGCTACATTATATTCAGTTCTATAGTATACAATGTTTCAGAAGAATGTTTATAAATAAGATAAAATTAAAACTTCTAAAAAAAAAAGAGGGCTGAAAATTGTGATGTCAGAAATGGTTGAAGAAGACCTTGGCCAGGGGTCACGATGGCTTAAATGTATCAAGTGTTTGCTGGAAGAACATGGCATGTTGGGTTTAGATTTTTGAAGGGCTAGTATCTCCAATTCCCTCAATACCTACCATTTCCACTCAGCTTAGTGAGTGGTACTATCATCCACTCAGTTACCTGAGGCTAAAGAAATCTGGAAGTCATCTTATAATAGATGTGTCCCTTTCTAACATTCCCCACCTCTCAGCAGGCATCAAAATCCTCTCCACTATATCTTCTAAATATCTAATTGGCCTTCATTTTCTCCTCCCTGGATGCTCATGATAGCTTTGCGACTGATCACTCTGTGTAAAGTCTTGTTATTTCTGACATATTCCCCATACCAGCAGCCAGAAGAATATTTCTTTGTTGTGGTTGTTGTTTCAATATTTTTATTGTTATTTAAGTACGGTTTTCTAAGAAGGATGTTTCTAACATGCACATCTGGCCGTGGAATTCCCTTGCTTAAAACTTTTCACATTTCCTCATATATTTTAGGACAGAGTATGAAATATTTTAGCAAGTGACTCATGATTTGTCATGATTGGGCCCAAAATAATTTTTTTCATCCTCCTCTCCCATTGTTCCCCTATTCCTTTACATGCTATTCCCTGATTTTCCATTCTTTGCCTGCCAAATTCCTATGCATTTTCAAGGTGCACATCAGCTATTACCCTCATTAAGAAGACTTCCTGATACACCCTATCCCTCCGATGTAAGGTTAGGTCCTCAAACCTCCTTTAATCCCTCATCTTAGCATTTATCTCACAGAGTTATGTCTATAAATTTGCCAGGCTCTCTTACAAGACTGTGAGCTCAAGAGCAAGACTCTTAGCCCTGGCTGGTGTAGCTCAGTGGATTGAATGTGGGCCTGTGAACCAAAGGGTCACTGGTTTCATTCCCAGTCAGGGCACATGCCTGGGTTGTGGGCCAGGTCCCCAGTTGGGAACATGTGAGGAGCGACCACACATTGATGTTTCTCTCCCTCTTTCCTTCCCTTGCCCCCTCTCTCTTAAATAAATAAATAAATAAATAAATAAATAAATAAATAAATAAATATCTTTTTAAAAAGAGCAAGACTCTTCTCTATCCATTTCTATGTCTCTAATACCTGGAATATCCTGGCATGGGTGTATGGATTCATTTTCTTTTCTTTTTTTTTTTACCACCTACTTTATTCCTAGATTCATTTTCTGTTGAATCAATAAATGGGTGGATAGATGGATAGGTGAAGAGGAAAGAAAGGGATTAGACATGTTCTTTGCTGCTAGAGACAAAAATAGAACCAATGAGTGGGAATTACAAGGAGGTAGATTTCAGCTTGATTGGACTGTATTTGATGAAGGCAATGAGCCTCTTGTCACAAATTATGTGAAGAAAAAATGCAGACAAACATTTACCTGAGATTTCAGGTATCTGATGAAGGGTTGTAGATGATTTTTTTTTAGATTTTATTTATTTATCTTTAGAGGGGAAGGAGAGAGGGAGAGAAACATCAATTTATGGTTGCCTCTACTGAATCCCCTGCTGGAAACTGGCCTGCAACCCAGGCATGTGCCCTGACTGGGAATTGAACCAGTGACCCTTTGGTTCACAGGCCTGCATTCAATCCACTGAGCTACACCAGCCAGGGCCTGTAGACGACTTTTAAAGTCTCTTCTGTCTCTGAGCTCCAGTAATTTAATGAAATAAAGAAGAATAAAATGTGTTAAGTGATCTAGTTCTAGACCACATGCCTAAAATCTAAGAGGCATGATAGTTCTGATATGAATTATGAGGCAGAATAAAGATCTTTTGAGGCAGATAGCCAAACCTGAGGGCCAGTCCCATTTCTACCTCTTTCTGGCTGTATAAACCCTTGACAACTCACCCTGTTGGAACCTCAGTTTCTTGTTGCCAACACTGAAATGATTCCTAACAGGCATGTTGTGAAAAAATCAATGAGTCAAGATTGGTACCTGGTGCATATTAATAACTCTATATATATTGGCTTCATTTAATCTCATAGGAAAATTGTAGGCCACAATCATCAAGGAATGCTTCCTATGGAATGTGGGAAGGGAATCCTGGAAAAGAATGCCTTCTTTAACCTCATAGAGATATTTTAAGGCATGATCCAAGCCTGAGGCAAAGTAAGAAGGAAGGGTAATTTGGGCTCCTTACCGTGATGTTTTCTGCAATGATTTCAGGGTCATTACAAATGGACTCAATAAAAAACACCTATAAGAGAAACAAAAGAGATATTTTTTAGCAGGGAATTGTATTTGATAGGAGCCAATCATAGTTTGACCCCTTCTAAATGTTTCTGAGTCATCCCCAGAGCATCTTTGACAACATAATTTCATACAGTGGTGCTTTAGGATTCTGATTTTTATGAGGCGGATTGGCTCTAAATTGAATGGTTCAAGATTATTGCTTTGTGTTTTTGCTGTTTTTTTAAAAAGTAGGATCTTGTAAATAATGTCTATAAAATGAATTTGGTTCTTAGACATAAGGCTCCAAGAGAGATAGATAACATTTTGTAAGTAGCATGCTAAGGTAGTGGTGGGAATTTAGCTCATCTGATACCATTGCACCTGAAGTCAACTTTCCTGATGCTAATTCACCCAATTAATTCAGCTAAAATGATCATTTTCTAAAGCAGTAGTTATTTTCTTTCTTTCTTTCTTTTTGCAAATACAATGTTTTTATTCCCCTTCACCTTTTACACCTATCTCCTTAACCCCTCTCCCCTCTGGCAATCATAAGTTTATTTTCTGTATCTTTGGGTCTTTTTCTGTTTTATTTATTCATTTTTTAGATTCCACAAATAAGTGGAATTATATGGTATTTGTCTCTTCTTGTCTGACTTATTTCACTTAGCACAAAACCCTCTAGGTCCAATCATATTGTTGCAAATGACAAGATTTCATTCTTTTAATTGCTAAGAAATATTCCATTGTGTGTATATATGTGTATATGTATACGAGGGTATACACATTCCTTTTGGAACATTATGGCTTTCTAAGCACCCAATTGTTCTCTATCATATCTTCTTTATTCATCTACTGATGAACACCAAGGTTGCTTTGGCTATTGTAAATAGTGCTGCAATAAATTTTTCTTTTGAATAGTGTTTTTTCCCTCTTTGGATACATACCCAGAAGTGGTATTGCTAGGCCATATGGCAATTCCATTTTTATTTTTTAAGGAATTTCTATTGTTTTCCATAGTGGCTACACCAATTTACAATCCCACCCACAATGAATGAGAGTTCACTTTTCCCCACATCCTCACCAACACTTGTTATTGGTTAGCTTTTTGATGATAGCCAGTCTGACTGGTATGAGGTGGTATCCCATTATGGTTTTGATTTTAATTTCCCTGATGATTAGTGATGTTGAACCTCTTTTCATATGTGTATCAGTCATCTGTATGTCTCCTATGGAGAAATAGAAATTCAGGTCTGCTACTCATTTTTTAAATTGGATTGTTTTCTTCATGTTGAGTTGTATGAGTTCTTTGTATGGATATTAACCCTTTATCAGATCTATCACAAATATCTTCTCCCATTCAATAGGTTGTTTTTTCATTTTGATAATGATTTCCTTTGCTGCATTTACTGGTTTTTAATTCACATGCTTTTTGTAGTGGTTCTCTCTCCTTTTTCCTCATCCTCCCCTTACAGTGCCAGCCTGTCAGTAATCATCTTCCATTGCCTAATATGGCACCTTTCCTTTCCTGTTCTGTTCTGTTTTGTTGCTTCTAAACATTATCTGGAAAGCCTTATCAACCAAATTAAAATGTTGAGCCTAAGGTAGCTGATCTGGACTCTATGAATCCTCTGGTTTGCCTTTCTTTAGGATTTATGCCTGGATAAGTAGGTTCTAGATAAGAGTAGCAGTGTAACTGTACCTTGTAACCATGTTCCTTAGCAAACTGCAAAATCACTGACCGTCGTTCTCTGGTAGTGTTGGTGGCATCAAAAACCTAGAGGCAGATGATGAGATTGGTTTGCTGTGAGTCTGGTGCTGATAGAATGCCTACTCTTGACCATCCCTGTGGTCAGCTAATTGGAGCTACCAGAAGGGGATAGAACTTGGACTGGGTGATGAAGGATAGCAAGGATTTGGAATTGGCTTGTATCAATTTCTCAAGCACTCACTGAGCCCTGCTATTTACCCAAAAGTGTAGCAGGCTCTATAGGAATAATAATGCAAGAAAACATTTGTGGGTTTTTAGTAGGGTCATTATACAGGTGAAGTAACTGAGCCTTAGAGGAAGGATTTGCCTTAACCAAGTCTCTGAGAGTTGCTGATAGAGGAGACATAGAACTGATTTCTCAACTCCTAGGTGAGGCTTCCTCCTTCCCTATCACTTCGGAGTTCTTTAAGGACAGGAAACAACTCCCTATCCTCACCACCTTAGATGAGATAATTTGCATAGTTGAAGATCTTTTTTCATTTTTAGAATTTGCAAATCCTATCTCCAGGGTGTCTATGAGAATAAACTGACTAAGATGTTTAGATAAATCTTAACTAAAAAGTTTGTATTTTAGTTTAAAATTCTACTGTAGTCCTGCCAAATTCTTGGGAGTGGAGTGGTAGGTATAGTAGCTAAAAGTATAGATTCTGGAGCGAAACAACCTGGATTTCAGTTCTGTTCTGCCACATACCTACTATGCCATTACGGAAAATTATTTCATCTTTCTGTGTGTCATTCTTATGGGATATAAAATGGGGGAATAATTATAATACCTTCCTCATGGGGTAAAATGGGATTAAATTAATATGTACAAAGTACTTAGAATAATGTGTGGAACATAGTAAATGTTCAATACATATTATCTGTTCTCCATCCCGGCAGAAATCCCAGGGAAAATGCAAATTGCTTTACCGCAACACGACCGTCCTCATGGCTGAGATAGTTATGGACATCCTTAAGGGCAGCCAAAGCACATTGCCTGAAAAAGATGGAGAGAAAAAAAACCCAGACAAGACTTATTCCCAAGACTGGATCCTCTAAATTTTCTACAGTATCTTTTGCACCATCTCTCATATGTCCTACATTATATTATTCACCTAGTAAATATTTACACATGACAAGCACGGACAGGCCACACAGGTGACAGTGGATCTGTGTGTATGTATATCTTAGGAGCAGATATAAAGTGGCATACCCAGGAAAAATTGACTGACACAGCATAATATTAAAGGCTCCAACCCTTGAGTTAATAGAACTGAATGGGTTCTTGAACCCAATTAGAGCCTGAGTATATGATCTGTGGAGTAGAAGGCATTCCTGGCACAGGTAACAGCATACGCACAGATATGATATTGGCAATGTTTTATGGTTTTGGAAAAAATCTAGTTAGTGATTACTCTTTTCGAGGTTCTAATGAGACACGGGCTCTCTTTAAAAAGTGTTCAGAGTCTTGGAGAGGAAAGAGACCTTGAGATTGAATGGATGAGGTTGGACACACTGCAGTATGCCAAACTAGGACTCTTGTCTCAAAGGCTAGGCTGGGAAATTTCCATTCTTTTCTGTCAGAAGTAGGAGAGTGTTTAAAGTTCTTAAGCAGGGGATAGCTATGACTTGAAACAAGCTTTCGGTAAGATAGTTATCCAAACCACCATTTGAGAATCTAGAGGGCCTCCTTGCTAACCCTGTGCCTCTGCTTTAGTCTCTCATCATCTGAACAAAGCCCTCCCTCAGCCAGTGGGCAGCACAGGTCCTCAAAATGTTAGGTACTTACTTCCTGATATGTAGAGCTTCCAGGTTGTCTGGGAGAAAGAATTCATAGTTCTTGTAGCTAACTGCCTCTCTTCGATATTGGCCTAAATTAAACACTGAAAGCAGGGAACACTTGTGAAGAGGTTGGGAAGATCTCAGTGGCAACAACAACAATACCCATATCCTAGTTGGGAGGGATTTTAGAGGGAGGTAGAATAAGGTATAATTTGTAGCTATATAATGTGCTTACAAAGCTTCAAATTATGGCTACCGGATCATTTTTTTTTTACAACAATCCTGAAAAGTGAGAATCACCATTCCCATTTTACAAGTGAGAAAACTGAAGGTCAGAGATGGTAACTAACATTCCCAATTACCGAGGAGCTAGGATTCAAGCCCAGGGCTATTTGGCTCCAAAGCTGGTGGTTGGTTCATTATTCTATTTTATAACAAACTCCAACCCTTTTCATGTTCTACTCCATTGGAAAGATAAACTTAGATTCAGGGAGTAAAATCAATCACCAAGGGTCCAACAGTGAGTCAGAACTAGTTTGGGCTTTTTGAAACATAGTCCAATATTATTATATATTTTTGTATCACAATAGAAAATCTACATTTGCCCTCTCTAGGTCACACTTTCTCATTTGTAATGGTGTAAAACCAGAGAGGAGGGAAGGGAAGGAAAGGGGATAATAAGCAAAGAGGTAATATAGTATTTTATTCATTCAACCAATAAATATTTTCTGATGCGCACTCTGTGAAGCCAGATGTGAGTTTTGGGGCAGAGCTAAACCATATCTGCGTGATGAGACTCTCAAAGAGGTCAGAATCCAGCAGATAGGAGGACAGAGAATAAACCAGTAAACAGAGAGCTCTCGCCCAGTTTGTCAAGCACTCTGACAGAACCATGCAACAAAGTAAGGGGCAAGAAAAGACTAATTAACTTGGGGTGACCTGAGAAGGTTTCTTGGAGAAAGCAGCCTTTGAACTAGACCTTTGAGGAGGGCAGGCCTTTTAGAGGAAGGCATGGGGGGCTGGAGTGGGGAACAAAGACATTGCAGGTAGAGGAACAGCTTGAGCAAAGGTGTGGCATTGGCACAAGGCAGAACACGTTTGGGGAATGGTAAAGTCATGGACTGTGACCAAGGCCTCTGAGAGACTGGCAAGGGCCGACTGTGGAAGGCCTTGAACAATAGGCGATGCAGCTTGCATTTAAGTCTCAAGGCCCAGAGATCCCTTGGAGACTGTAGGTATGGCCAGCTTTGCGCTTTGAAATATGACTGTGAGAGCCTCTGTGAGAATGGAGTGGGCTGGAGCAGACAGGAAACAGGCACATTAGAGTAGGGTTTGTGTGGGAGCCCAGAGGAATCAAATAGGAACGGGGATGCACGGTGGGGGGACAGACGCTTCAACCGGATAATAAGAGGGACTGATTGCTGAATAAGAGGTAGTAAGCACAAAAGAGACCATATGGAGGAGAACGGAAAGGTGGGAGCAGGGAGCAGGAAGGAGGTTGACAGGCAGGGACGAAGACCCCTCTGGAGGCGGAATGAGGCAGGACCACTTCCGGCTGGGGAGGGGGAGTGGACAGGCTTAGACCTAAGGAGAGGCTTGGAGAGAGCAGACGCCTTCTGGACCCAAGAGGACGAGGTGAGCTAAGATGCCCAGCTTTAGTGAAAATGCTCTGGGTCCCTCCTAGCTGCAGCTTCAGAGTCCTTGATTCCACATGCTGCTAAGTTTGGAAGAAAACCTTAAGGGTGTGAAGAGATGATAATGCTAATAAAAATATTAATATTGGTATGATAATAATAGAAATTGCAATAAAAATAATATCCTGGTCATAGAATTGTCTTGAGGTCTTACAAAAATGGAGCTCCTCTGGAAAGAAATGTAATTGTACTAGTTTTCTTACCTAGCATGGGATTGAGCACAGTGTATGTCCCCAAGAAATTTTAAAACTCATTAGGAGTGTAGTGGTAGTGGTAGTATTAGTAGCAGTAGCAGTAGCAGTAGCAGTAATAGTACATATTCTGTTAATAATTGAGACTTTCCTGGCACTCAGGGCATTGTCCGTTCTGAGGGTTGCTACCTTACTGTGTTTTCAGACAGTGGCCTGTAGGGGGCTGTATAACAAAAGGTTTCAGAGATTTACCTTTAGTTGGTGTTCCGATCCAGTTCAGATATCGGGTGAGCTTCGTAGAGATGTAAGTCTTTCCTCGAGCTGGTAAACCCACCATAATCACCATTGTGGGGGAATTGGTAAACTGGGGTATGGATGCTGAAAGACAAACAGGGCCTCAAAAGCTTATCTCCAGGTTCACATGATCTTCTGGTATCATTTCAGGGATGTAGAATTAGAAGGACCTTCTCTCCCACCATTATAACTATATATAAAAAAAACCCAATTGCAAATTGACTTCTCTTGAATTCATAAAAACAAAACAAAATAAAAACCCTGAGACTGCAGTGCAAACAGTTAATCCAAAATCTGTAGAGATAAGCATCTGCAGGGAGCAACAGTGCCCAGATATTTATGTTTCACAGATACTACTGAACAACATATAAACTCATAAGAAATCCAGCTAAGGATGATTAAGGAATTGCATAATGTTGGTTGTGGGCTAGGGTAAGAATGTGAAGACCCTGGGTGCTGCAGACATAGGTGGTCTGGCATCCTCTAGCAGACTTTTCCTTTAGGATTTGTACCAAGTGCTAATAGGGAAGACTGAGAAGAATCCTGAGAAAGATATCTCGTAGTTCTAGCTTTGGGATGGAAACAAAACCAGACCATTCTACCTACATATCCTATGGAACAAAAGCCTTAATCATCATGGGGAAAGACAATAAAACTCTAGCATGAGAGCACTGGTGGAAATTCATTGCTGCTGGCAGAGAGGAGTGGCTACACCACTGAAACTCTGCCCAGATCAAACTTCTCTATCTCCCCTAAGGAAAATAAGCTTTAATCTGCAGAAGGAAGGACAACAGAAACTGAAGGCACTGGTGGAAACGCTATACAGCTGGAGAAGAAAAATGGAAAAAAAATGTTCTAATGCAGGAGGAGCAGGAATATGTGCCAAGCCCACCATTATATTTAGAGGAGGGGCAGAACACTTGGGAAGGTCGCACCTCTAAGACTCGGGATAAGCCTGTCTAAGAGTTAGGCTGAATCAGAATAGCATAAAATGTCCTTAGTCCCCTATTTCCCACTACCAGACTAAAAAAAAACCAACAACAAATAAAATAGGTAATAATGGACTATATCTTTAAAGGATGCAAGAGATAAATTGTCTCCAGAGAGAAGCAAAAAGGAAAGAATTGAGGCAAGAAGAAACTAAAGTCTGAATAGACAAATCATCATGACCAGAATTAGTTAAAACATGCATACTGGAATTATGACGCAAGGAATTTAAAATATCTATGACTACTATGTTAAAAACTTTATTGAAAAAGTAGACAGCATGCAAGATGCTAAAGGTAATTTCAGCTGGGGGATGGAAAGTATAAGAAATAATTAAATGTAAATACAATAGAAAAATAGTAACAGTATCAGATCTGAAGAATGCCTTTCATGTGCTCACCAGCAGACTTGACACTGCTGTGGAATCACTGAACTTGAAGATAGATCAATAGAAATTATACAGACTGAAATGCGGAGATTAAAAAAGAGTAAAAAAAATAAAACAAAATGAGAAAGCTAAAAACTTTGGAACACTATTAAACAGTGTAATACATGTATAATTAGACTTTCAGAAGGAGAATAGGAAAGAAGAAATATTTGAAAAAATAATTGCCAAAATCTTCCCAAATTAGTGATTGATATCAAACCAGAGAACTAAGAATCTCACAGAACACCAAGAAGGATAAATAAAAATTTAAAAAGAACACATTGGCATGTAAAATTCAAACTGCAGAAAATCAGGCAAAAATAAAATATTGAAGGCAGATAAAACTGAAATGTACAATAACAAAAACCCCCTCACTGAATGGCTTCAGTGACAGAAGACAAACAATCTAATTTAAAAATGCAAAGGACCTGAACAGACACTTCTCCAAGGAGGACATATAGAGGGTCCAAAGACATATGAAAAGATGCTTGGCATCGCTAACCATCAGAGTGATGGAAACTAAAACCACAATGAGATACTACTTCACATTGGTGAGAATGGCCACCATAAACAAATCAACTAACAAATGCTGATGAGATTGTGGAGAAAAAAGAGACCTAGTACACTGTTGGTGGGAATGCAGACTGGTGCTGCCACTATGGAAAACAGTATGGAATTTTCTCAAAAAATGATAAATGGGACTGCCTTTTGACATAGCATTTCCACTGCTGGGGTTATACCCTAGGAATCCTGAAACACCAATCCAAGAGAATCTATGCGCCCCAATGTTCATAGCAGCACAATTTATAATAGCCAAGTGCTGGAAGCAACCTAAGTGCCCATCAGTAAATGAGTGGATCAAAAAACTGTGATACATTCACACAATGGAATACTACACAGCAGAAAGGAAGAAGGAGCTCCTATCCTTCTTGACAGCATGGATGAAACTGGAGAGCATTATGCTAAGTGAAATAAGCCAGGCAGTAAAAGACAAATAACGTATGATCTCACCTGTAAGTGGAACCTAGTCAACAACAAACAAGAGAGGAAAATAGAACCAGAGACATGGAAATAAAGAGCAAACTGACAGTGACCAGAGAAGAGGGGGGAGGTGGATAATGGAGCAAAGAAAGGGAAGGCTCAAATCAAGGAACATGTATAAATGACTCATGAAGAAAGACAATGGGGGAGGGAGGAGGATTGAATGTGGGAGGTGGAGGTAGGTAGGGCAGGGGAGAGTGGTGGTGGAGGGAAATGTGGACAACTGTAATTGTACAACAATTAAAAAAGAAATGATAGAGAAAGGAGTCAGAAAACTCAAAGATCCAGTATTAGAAGTCATCTAATATGAACAACAGAGAAATAAAATGTAAAAAATAAAAGAACAGCAATTTGGGGGCCTGTGCAAAAAAAAAAGGCTAATATTCATGCTATTGGTGTTCCAGATGGAGAGGAGAAAGAGAAGGGCCTAAAAAATTATTTGAGAAATTATGACTGAAAACTTCCAAAGTTGATGAAAAAAACAAACTCAGAGATTCAAGAATCTGAGTAAATACTAAATAGGATAAAACCATAAAATCCATTCAGACACAAAATAATCAAATTGCTAAATACTACGAATATGAAATTATCTTGAAGATTACCTCTGTCACAATGCCTATGTCATTCACCTCATTTTACCTCACCACAGAGGCACTGTATCATCTCACATCATCATAAGGAAAAGAAGGGTGAGTACAGTACAATAAGATATCCTGAGATTGAGAGGCCACATTCATATGACTTTCATTACAGTATACTGTATAATTGTTCTATTTTATTAATAATTACTGTTGCTATTCTCTTACTGTGCCTAATTTATAAATTGAACTTTATCATAGGCATGTATGTATAGGGAAAAACATAGTATATATAGGGATCAGTATTATTTGCAGTTTCAGGTACCCACTGGAATTCTTAGAATGTATCCCCTGCAGATAAGGGGGGACTAGTTTTCTCAAGATAATGTGGTATTGGCAAAAGCATAAACGAATTGATCAGTGGAATAGAACAGAGAGCCCCCAAATAGACCCACTCAAATGTAGTCAACAGATTTTGGACAAAGGCAATTCACTGGAGAAAATAGAGTCTTTTCAACAGATGGCGCTAGAACAATTGGAAGTCCATATGAAACAAATGAACATAATCATATATCTTTTATCTTATGCAAAATGTAACTCAAAATGGACCATTGGCCTAAATATAAAATATAAATCAATAAAACTTCTAAAAGTAAACATAGAAGAAAATTTGCATGATACTGGGTTTGGCAATGAGTTGCTAGATACATTACAAAAAGCACCATCCATGAAGAAATTAATAAATTAAACAACAAAAATTTAAAATACTGACCTGTGAAGGACACTGTTAAGAGAATGAAAATAAATGCATCAGATTAGGAGAACATATTTGCAAATTACTAATCTTTTGTATCCAGAATATGTAAAGAACACTTAAAATTGAACAGTAAAAGAAAAGGATTTACAGGAACTAGTATAAAGGACACATGGACAACAACTAAGGGGGGGTGGAAGTGGGAGGGAGGTGGGGAGCACTGGGGGGGTGGGATGGGATGGGAGTAAAAGACAGAAAACTGTACTTGAACAATAATTAAATTTAAAAAACTTTAAAAAAGAGAAAATGTAATTTTAAAAACTGGCAAAATATCTGAAAAAATATTTCACCAACCCTATACAGATGGTAAAGTATCATATTAAAATATGTTCAATATTATCAGTCATTAGTAAAATTCAAATTGAAACTGGAATGAGTACAGAATGAGATAACTATTAGAACAGCTAAATTTTATTATGTATATTATATATCTATATATGACAATATCAAATGCTGGCAAGGATGTGGAACAAAAGGAACTCTCATTCATTCCTAGTGGGAATATAAAATGGTTCAGGCATTTGAAAACCAGTTGGGCAGTTACTCATAAAATTTAACAAATGATTATTATATAACCTAGCACTTCCAATAGGAATGAAAGATATATAGGAAAAATTAAGGAAAAGATATATATTGAAAAATTAAACTTATACAAAAATATATATGACAATGTTTATAGTCTTATTAAAATTTCTAAATACTAGAAACATATAAGATATCCTTTAATAAAATAGAATGCTATCCAGCAATTAAGTGAACCATTGATTCACACAACTAGGATAATACCAAATGCATTATGCTAAGAGAAAGAAGCCAGATCTAAGAACTGATATATGATATAATTCCACTTATATGACATTCTGAGAAATACAAAATTATAGGAAATGGAACAGGTCAGTAGTTTTCAGTGTTTGGTGGAGGTCATAGGTGACCTACAAAAACAATTAGAAACAATTAATAAAATGGCAATAACTACATAACTATCAATAATTATTTTAAATGTGAGTGAATTGAATGCTCTAATGCTCTAATCAAAAAGCAAATGCAGAAGATGTGATATATATATATATATATATATATATATATATATATATATATATATAAACTTGGCCATATAAAATAATAAAATCACTTGAGACAACAGGGATGGACCTAGAGGGCATTATGCTAAGTGAAGTATATCAGATAGGGAAATATAAATACCACATTAATTATTTCATTTATATGTGGAATCTAA